CTTTTCCCCCCAATAGACCCCAGTGTTTAGTACTCCCCTTTCTATGTCCATGTGTTCTCATTTTTCATCACCCACCTATGAGTGAGAATATGCGGTGTTTCATTTTCTGTTCTTGTGTCAGTTTGCTGAGGATGATGTTCTCCAGATTCATCCGAGCATTCTTCTTCTATACTCTTCTGTCACTGCTATATAACAGCAAATAAATGCCATCTATAACTATAGCCAGTACATTGACAGCAGTGGTGCCTAATTATACCACACCATCACACAGAACAAGCATCACAGCAGTCTATTTGGATTCTAGGTCACTGCCACATAGATCTGAAGAACATATGCTTATTGTGATTATAGTCACCATGCAGTGACATGAATATCTCAGGCAGCCTGGATCACACTAGTTACCTTCAGTCATAGTTGTGGTAAAGTCACACTTTACCCACATGTTCTGAAAAAAGATACCTGAGCACAAATGCACAGCTGGCACAGTTTCAGACTGGGCAATCCCATAACCTCACTCTCTTCTTGCTTTGCCTGTGACCCATGTTGGCCATACAGTCAGCTTGAGAATCTCAAATTCCTGAAACCAGGCCCAGTGTTCTTTCCATTCTAGCACTTGCACATTCTGCTTCTCTCCGTACCTGGGAAATTCTAGAAGCTGAGTTGTGTCTGCCTGGAGGCAAGGGCTTTTTCCGCAGGAACGCTAGGTAATGTTAGTAGGTAGTTCTGCAATGCCTGTGACCTAAGCAACTGCAGGGTCCCTAGAAAATGCTTTCAGGAATCGTGCATTGCTGTTATGTTAGACTATATGCTGAGGGCTGTTTTAAGACTTAGCCTATTAGTTTTGTGATGTCATCAATTACAGAACTGCTGCTGAGATTGTTGTCTTGCATTAGCAGCCACCAGGTGAACATTTTAATTTGTTGGAATTGTATTGTCCTGCTTCACCTGGGTGCTTGAGTGGGGCATTCCTCTTCAGGAGGGCAGCAAGATAACTTGGAATTTTTAGATACCCTCTCCTGTGAGCACACTGAGCCACAAATGCAATGCTTGGATAGCATGTGTCACATTGGGAGGCAGTCTTTCCTGCACTAGTGTCCTTCCTTCACAGGCTGTGAGCTCTGGTAATGTGGGTATGTTTCCTTTGACTCCCAAGTGTCTGGCACGCAAGCTAGAGAATAGAAGATGCTCATTATGTATTTATACACTAAACAGTAGAAAAAGTGAGAGATATTGATATGAAAAGCCTACTGAGGGATATATTCAGGAGTATAAGTAGATAGGTTAATTAAAAATGTCTGTTAATCTGTATTTATAAAAAGGATATATTTGTAACATGAATATTTCAATTTTACCTAAAATTCATTCAGTGTAATAGAGCTAGTCTATAGAACAATCCTACGTGTAGGGTTCAGCAAATAGAATTCTATTGTCTTGCTGAAAGCATATCTAGCAATAATTGTTTAGGATTTGCAGTTTGGATTAGTTTAAGTGTAGATCTTAGTATCTGATGCATAGCATTCTGACTTAGGAAATTGTTCAAATTGTTCATTTTTGTTTAATTTTAGAGTTGTCAGACTCACACCTATTAAACAATAATCTTGGAACCTGCTTTTATTGTCCATTTACTCATTCACATTAGTCTTTATGGAAACTACACTTCTTCTTTCATACTTGTATTTTATTGACTTGTGCTGTATTTTAATAAATTAGGTAATTATATTGACAAGCCTCATTGGCAAAAGCAGGACAGAAAATAGATCCAGTTGGTTCTTATGAGGCTGATGACGCGGTGCCTTTGAGCCCAGGTGTACAAGAGCATCAGTGAATGGCCCTGAAGGCTCAGCATTTGCTTGGCACCAGTCAAGCTATTTTCTTCACGACGGGGAAAGGATTGGTTATAGAGATAGAGTGTGTTAGTGAGGGACTTATTTGAAAAGTGTTTGCTTTTATATAGATTTAGAGCACAATGCCTGATGAATTATGATTCAATATTTGTTGAATTCATGCCTAAAATATAGCCATAAATGGCGTTCTTAAAAAGTGCCAAGAGAGGCTTTCATGTCATTTCTCACTTTCTGGAGAACACTCCTGGATGTCCTGCATGCTCTTCCTCCTTATGAAACCAAGAGGAAATGATATCATTGGCCTTGGAAAGAAGTCAGCTCATGAGCAGACTTCTGCATCCCCTCCATTCTTCTTCCCAGAGGCAGTGAGCAGACCTGTAATGAAAGGGAACAGAAGGTCTCAGAAGGACCAACTGCAGAGGACATTCTGCTAAGTTGGAGGTGCCTGCAGGAGTTCCAGTGAGACCTGGTGACTGAGCCAGCCTTTCCAAGATTCTGGACTAACCTGTGATTTTTAGCTAGGAGATGCGTGAGAAAAATGGTTACCGAGACTCTTCTAAATTCCACACCTACTGTGTTGCACTAGAAATTTAAAGACGTGTTCTTTTCTCTTAAGTAGTTGAGAGTGCAGTTGAAGGGAAAGATGTGAGGAAAAGTAATTCAAGTACACTGTTGTAAGTTTCATTGTAGAGCAATGTGTGAGGTCCAGTAGGTTCAGAAGGGCTTCCTGGACTGAATATAAGCTTTCACAAAGTTGAAGTTTTCTTCCATCAAAAGAAAAAGAATGTTACTAAAACCCAAACAAGCAGTTTCCCAGGTGAGGACCAACATTATCTGATTCAATTGCCAGGGAAAATTCTTTACAGAATTCCTCATGATAGGCAACATTTTTAGCCAAAACTGTACAATTGATATCACAGACTCCCAGAGTGGACTCTCCCAATAACCCTCATACTGAACTAAAGACGTCACGTCAAAGCTCCTTGCCTGGAGCACTGGCTGCAAACACTGTCTTCCTGCTTCCTCTGACCTGTAGCAAACCCTCATCTACAGCCATGTCCTACTACAGCATATGGAAATTGAAGGTGGACAGTTAGGATTCAGCATCAGACTTTTGGGCCTGGAAGAGCAATGGATCTGGACTCAGGGGACCTGAGTTCAACATTATGAACACTGTGATAGGAGCCTCCAATACATTTGACTGGACACATGGAAGAATATAGACTTCTTTATTGCTTCCGTAGTTACTTTGTACTGTCTCCTTTATACTCAAATCCCATGTGTCAGCTCCCCTCAGTGGGGGTGAATCTGAGGGGTAGCCTCATTGTCTGTGAGCAGTGCAGAGCCTGCTGTGATGTCACATCTTTTCTTGGGGGTCTCTTCTGTCTGCCTGAGTTACCTGTGGAAGGGACAACCACTAGTGGATAATAGTCCTCAATTTTTTCCTGAACCAGTTTGTATAATTAAATGCTTTTAATTATTGTAAAATGTACATAACACACATTTTACAACTTTAAGTATTTTAGTTGTAAAATTCCTTTTCATTAAGTATATTCACAATAAGTCATGACCGTTACAACTGTCCCTTAAGAACTTTTCATTATTCAGCACAGAAATTCTGCGCTCATGAAATGATGGCTACACGTTCTTTCCATCATCCAGCAACAGGATCCTCCTAATTCATTTTCCATGTTCATGAACTTCCTAGTTTGGATACCTAATGAAATCTGAACTTACAATATTGTTATTTGGCATCTGGCTTATTTTGCTGAGCACAATGTTTCTGAATTCATCTATGTCAAAGCATGTATTTCTGTGCCAACTGTAAGTTATTATAAAGATACTATAATTGATATTAGCATGAAAAGGTCAGATGTTTTCAGTCTTGCTTTTCATGTAAACTGCCATAAAAGTAACTGAAAATTACAGCCAGAACAATTTGTACAAAACTTGAAAGTATAAAGAATTCTAGTACAATGGAAAGAATCTGTAAGTGAATAATAAATGGTTTTTAAGATAATTTCCACTTTGAAACCAATATTGAGGTTTCCAATGGCCAAAATGGAACTGGTGGGACATATTTATGGACTCTCACTGGTCTACTAGTCCAGGAAGAGCTAAATAAGCACCTACCCATTCTCAGGTGGAAGGGCCATGGTTGTCTTTCCCAGAAACGAAGGCCAACGTGTGACCATGCTGTGGACAAATGACAGAAGAGGACTTTGCATAAAATCAATTTCTAGGGCTGTTTTTATGCAGAGAGAGTCTGTCTCTAAGGGTATTATTTGACTCTATATCTGAGAATTCAATAGAATGTAGAGACACCAGAACTCAGTTATTCAGAATCGAGCTTTCAATGGCAGTGATGCCTCCAGTCATAGAAGGGAACATGGTTTTCAGGGGATCATAGTCTGAGAGGTTAATAAGAAATCTTTCTTTTTGATATGATCAGGTGAGTTTAGGGTTTTGGCTGGGAACTCCTTTCATTACAATGAAAATTGCAGAAAAAGTGTTCAGGAGGAAAGACTTAGGGTAAAATAACAGGAAAAATGTACTGGTAATATCAAGGAGAACCTAAACATTGTACTGTCAGACTAATGCTTTCCATGGGTGAAAACTGGAACTGTCAGGTTAGATAAACATCTGTCAAAGACCTTGAGGAACCACTGAGACATTTCTGAGGCATAACGCTAAGAAAAACGCATAGAAATTGTCAAGGATGGTAGGGCAGTGTTGCTCTCAAGTCCCGTCTGACTGACAGGGCAGAGGCTGTCTCTCACTGCCCAATCTGCTTCCCGACAGCTCCAGAGTTTCCTCAGGAAGCTGTCCTCCATCTGGTCTACTAGGGCTGGGCGCGGTGGCTCAAGCCTGTAATCCCAGCACTTTGGGAGGCCGAGGTGGGTGGATCACAAGGCCAAGAGATTGAGACCATTCTGGTCAACATGGTGAAACCCCGTCTCTACTTAAAATACAAAAAATTAGCTGGGCATGGTGGCGCGTGCCTGTAATCCCAGCTACTCAGGAGGCTGAGGCAGAATTGCCTGAACCCAGGAGACGGAGGGGTTGTGGTGAGCTGAGATTGCACTCCAGCCTGGGTAACAAGAGCGAAACTCCGTCTCAAAAAAAAAAAAAAAAAAGAAAGAAAGAAAAAAGAGAGGACAGGAAAATGGAAACTAGATGAACATGACAAAATAAGACATCAAAATCCAAGTGGACCACAGTAGACAGGAACCACTGAATGCCGAGGGGCAGGCTGCAGAGGAGGAAGACCAGCACTGTGAGCAGATGGTCACCTACAGCCTGGTCAGCAGCATCTTCCGGGTCCCACAGAGAACCACATATAAAAAAATCAGCCACTCGACTGTGATGAAATCCGATGTTTGACACCAAACAAAATCAGCATCACTAACAGGAAGCCACAGAACATCCACTCCAGGATGCTCCTCAGCAGGGATGGGACCGAGAACAGGATGCACAGGCCTGTAAAGTAGGGAAAGGTCATCACAGAATTGTGGATTTTGGAGATGGGATGACAGATATTGATGAGGAGTAACGATAAACTTGTAATATGGCTGCTGAGGAAGGGGAAGTTGGCCGCGGCCAGGTTGAGGATGTAGGTGGAGAAGGCATTCCTGCGCATGCGGAAGCCCAGGAGCCAGAACACAACCGCGTTTCCCGTCAGCCCGACAAGGGAGATGATGCACGTCAGTATCGTGAGGATCAGTGTCTGCTCGTTGCAAGGAGTATCCTCATTTTAAAGAGGAGAGAAACAGAGGCTCACAGATAATAAATCACCTATCAAAAGTTGAGGGTCCCCTCAAATCCAGTTTGAAATCCAGTTCTCATTGATTCTGAAGCCTGACCTCTCTCTGCTGCCACACATGTTATGTACTTACATGGGAATAACATTATGATCAAAACACCCCCACTCACCTGGCCAGGGCTGTGGACCCGATCATTACTGTAGCCTGGGCCTGAAATTTTCTCTCAGATGGAGGAATTGAGATACACTAAGAGGTGGTTGTGACACCCTCATGACTAGGACTGGTCATCCACGTACAGGAAAGAAGACCATGCATTATGAACCAGAGGAGAATGGGACCTTCACTAGGATAAGTGTGAAATGGCTGGGCCTGGTGGGTGAGAAATAACTCAGGGTGTCTATCATTGCAGACAGGACAACATTTTACATTTTATACTCCCAGTGCCTAGCTCCGTGAGCAGCACACTGTGCTCTTCATCAATACTCACTTAATGAATGAATGCATGCATGAGGAACCTAGTGGTAATGGGAGATTTGGGTGAAATGGAAAATAAAAATGAAAGCACAATGTAGGGCATTAGAACACACGTGTAATTAGATGAAGAGAATTTCATTCATTCGAATTCTATTTGTGGACAGCTCTATCTGTGTTGAGAAGAATGATTGATGTGTGACTCAAACCTGAATTTGACCACTGATATGCCTTTGAAATGAGGTCTCAGTATGGCTTTGCTGAACACCTAGAAGCATTTTTGTACACAATGTTTGGGTAGAGTGTGGGTCTGAGCTGGATTGCTCAGCAATAGAGCAGAGGAAAAAGTGCAGGTGAGGTCTGAGTGCCACCGAAGGAGGTACTCAGTGTGGGAATATCTTTGGGGGACTACTCAGTGCTCTGCTGTGTATACACAATGTAAACCTATTTCCTTCTTTCTTTCAGATCTTTGGTTTATTTCTCTGTTGATGAAAATATTTGTATTGCAGGAGTTCATGAAGGAAATAGGGATAGTGTAGGGCTTGGAGTATAAACATATAAGTATATTCGTGCAGATTTCAACTGGAGAATGAGGAGTAGTTCTAATCTGGGTGAATAACAGCAGCTGAGAGTTTATAAGGTATTGTCTCTTTTAATCACCTGAAGAGCCTAGGAGGTAAGAATTAGTATTATTCCCATATGGCAGATAATGCATTGGAGCACAAGAAGAGTAAATCATTTGTCCAGGGACTTACACAGTATGAATTTGAGCTCAGAGAACTGACTCCAGTCTTTGACCAGTCCTTTAGACCTAGCACCCCCTGCGTCAGTTATGCATGTTAAAGGGGGTAAAGCAGAGGAGTGATTCTCAAGTAAAATCCAAGTTGGCAGGCAAAATTGTGGAGTGAAAAGAAAAATACCCAAAAAAACTAACCTAAGCAAACTCCAGATGGAGAATGAGAAGCAAATCAAATAAGGAACAAAATAGAAGTGAGTGAAAGCTATTTAGGAACAGATTCAGGAGCTCCTTTTTGCCTATTAGAGGCCACCTTAACTCTGGAATCCCGAGAATGCACAGAGGTCAGAGGCCTCCAGGAAGAAAGGTTATGCACCCTCTGCTGGGAGTACAGAGGAGCATCAGGAGTGAATGTGTCCATCATGAGCTCTAGTAGAGAGACAAGCTGCCATAGCCCTGATTGGCCCTGAAAATGAAATGGGAGGAAAAGGAGAACCTCTGTTATCCACACTCAGGGCACTAAACGCTTTGTTCCTCTATATTTAGTGTGTGATATGTTTGTCTTCCTCATGAAACCTGAAGCTCCATAAGGACTATGCCATGCCTTATCTTTTTCATTGTAGCATCACCAACATTTAGCATGTGTTCCTTGAAGACTGTCTATGTTATTATCTTCATATAACACAAGATGAAGCCATGGCCTACAGAATTAAAGGGTTTTCCTGAGACCACAACATGAAGAGCAGGTTCAATACCAGGCCTTGGTCCCTGGAGCCATGCATGAGACTTCTGAACTGTTCTTTATGCCATCATTCATTGTTTCTGAGGAGTTCTTGAAAAATCTTGATGTGAGCACAGAATCAAAGACAGTCAGGGTCTGAAGAGACTGCCATGTTGTCCCAATATTCATTTTCCTTTTTGGTCACTTGACAATTCTGAGTGTAAAAGCAGTACAAGGACCCACATGCCAGTTTTCCTTGATGCTGGTGCCATTATATGACCAGCTGTTGTTCAATGGAAGATACCCCAAAGTGATATAAGCAAGTCCTGACTCAGGGGATCAATAGTAGGAGCAGAGCCTCCCCTTCCTTTCATCCTTTTCCATCATGCTGGAATGCTGATGTGCCTGGGAACCAGGTAGGATCACAAGAATGAGGGCAACTCTGTAGGCAGTTTTTGAATTCTGATGTATGATGCCTTGGAGCTTCCAGCTCGGGTCTCAAAGATGGTCATCTCTGGCTATTCACAGAGGATTATTTCTGGAACTCCAGCACATGCCAAAATCTGCAGACGCTCAATTTATTTATGCAAAGTGATATGACATTTGTATACAACCTATGCACTTTCTCCCAGATACATTAAATCATTTCTAAGTTACTTAGAATGACTGACAAAATACACATGCTATGTAAATTCTTCTTTTACCATATTATTGAGAAAGTAATGACAAGGAAAAACAAGTTTGTACCCGTTCAGTATGTATACAACTCCACCATACCCTTCTTTTTAAAATAATTTCCACCTATGGTATGTTGATTCTGTAGTTTCAGAACCTAGTGTAGTGAGCTACAGGCACAACTGTATTTTCTTTTTAAGATGTTTCTACTTTGTGTCTTTATAAGAGCAGCCAAACTTATATTCTAAGCAGAGAAATATGTCCTCTCTTTTCAAAATTACATTTTATTTTCTATGCATTTTTGATGAGTGCAAACATTTCTGCATAGCAGTGACAGTAGAGAAAGACATGCCAAACATTAAAGCAGCTTGATGGAGCTAAATTAGACGGGAATCAATCACCTGTAGACAGAAAAAGCCACAGGAAGTAGGAGGATGTAAGAATGTGCGAACGATAGTCCTCGTTGCCATGAGGATTTGCTTTCCATCCTTCTCTATCCTGTTTGACATCCCCAAAGAGTGTCTTCTATGTACCACATCAGTGGAATTATTTTAATTCTTATTTCTGGTGGGATTGAGACACTGGGACACACTGGCAGGTGACTGGAAGACAGCAGGAAAGTGACATGGGATTTTCACCACCTGGCTCTCTGCCCGTGTATTAGTTCATTTTCAAATTGCTGTAAAGAAATACCTGAGACTGGAAAACTCATGAACAAAACAGGTTTAATTGGCTCATGGCTCTGCAGGCTGTACAGGAGGCATAGCAGCTTCTGCTTCTGGGGAGGTCTCTGGAAGCTTCCAATTATGGTGAAAGGCAAAGGGGGAGTAAGGCATCTCACACCATGAGAACAAGAGCAAAAGAGAGAGGGAGAAGGTGTCACATGCTTTTAAACAACTGGATTTCATGATAACTCACTCACTATCACAACAGCAATACCAAAGGTGGATGGTGTTAATAAACCATTCATGCAAAATTGTCCCCATGATCTAATCACCTTCCACCAGGCCCTCTTTTCAACATGGGGAATTACAATCAACATGCGATTTGGATGGGGTCACAGATCCAAACCGTATTAGCCTGTGTGGCTATGTGTTGGCCATGTTGGGCTCCTCCACCTGCCTGCTCGTGTTCTCCCACCCCCAGTGGCTACAGCTATGGCTATGGCGACAATGGTGACTGCTCATTCCTGTCCCTTTCAGCCTAGTGGAGGAAGTAGTGCTCCCCTAGGTATTGCTGCTTAGGGTGCTGATCCATGCATTGTCTCTTTTCCTTAACCCTGCATATCTTTGTAAATAGTTCCCTCATGAAACACTCCTCAGTCATTTCAGTTTGAACCATCCATGTCCTCCTTGAAACTTTCCAGATAGATAAGGAAGAAAGATCTTGAAAAGTAAGTAAAACAACAAAACCTGCTTCTATAGCAGTTCAGCTCTGTAAAGCAATGCCTGCATGTCCTGTTGCTCACTAAATGAATGTTAGAGGCAGCATTCTCTCCATGAGGGCAGATTGAATGTTGGAACAAAGGAGGTGATGTGGGGAGAGAAATCAGAAGGGTGGACCCTATTTGGAACTCACAGACTGGGCTGGTAGTACTTGGTTTCCAGAAGGATGCTTCATGTCTCCTGTCTTTTCCTGAAACAAGCTCATGATCCCCTGCATGTAGCACAAGGTAGAAACACTGGGGTGTGATCTTGTACCTAAAACTGTAACTGACCATGGAAGAAGACAGTTCTTGGTACTTACCCTTATCTTTCTCTCTTTTGTCCAGAGGTGCAGACCTCCTTTGTGCTAAAGGTGGAGAGCCTTTCTGGGATTCAGTGACTTCAGAGGACACTTTTTGTGTTGCTTAATTCAGGAGATGCCTAAAGGAGCTGGAGTGAATGCTGGTGAGCAATGCAGCCTTATGAAGATACTAGACAGACTTCTTATTTCCTGTGTGAGGAGCATGGACAAATCAGAAGCCAGAGGTATTTGAGACACAAATCCTAACTGAGATGATTCTTGGCCTCTGTCCCTTTCCAAAACATATAAGCCTCTCCCATCACATCCCATCTTATTCAACTTCCTGTAAGTGATGGCTATCCTGATTTTAAAAATCAATTATGGGCCTGGGTATCACATTAAGCAATGTGAACTTCCATTATGAGACTTTATAACTAAAATGAAAATGGGATCATTCAAGGGTGATGATGTCCTGACACCATTTTTTTGGTGTTTTCTTTATTACGGTGGCAATATATTCATGCATATACTTTCTTTCCAAATACTAGAAAAGTGTATGCAAGGTGAAAATCTAGAATCCCATTGTCCAGAGGCTTCCACTTGCTACACTTTTCATTCTTACTTCTTTCATTATCAACTTTAAACAGTAAGACTTGTTTTAA